CAGGGCAGAGACCAAGATCAGCAGTCCAGTCCTCAAATAGGATGCTGGGCTCACCCCAAGGTATGGCCACAAACGCCCCTCTAACCCTGGTTGCTCATCTTTTCCTGATGATGCTGCTAAAGGGTCGAGGTGGAATTGCTTCATTTAGCTCAATGCAAACCATCCTCATGACTTGAGAAACCAATTCAATACTGACAGCCATGCAGTAACTCCATCTTCTCATGCAAAGACAGGGTACCAAATCATCCTTATATACGCCTTTAAATCAAGTGTAAAACCCTTATGATTACATTTCCCACAACTTTCAACTTTATTTCTGAATCCATTAACTTTCTCTTGTTGCTAGCAAATGAACTTCCTATAGTCAGCACATTTCCCACAATTTGCACATTTTTTTCAGAAATATTTAGAAAACATCTCCATTGTCTGCTACGGGCAAATGAGGTAGGTACACAGGGGTTCCTGTACAAGGTGCCAAGCACAGCCCCTTTAGGGAGTGTGTTTCTCCTCCGTAATTATGTTCTTAGGGAGTCTTCTCAAATAGGGTTTATTAACCTGTTTCCATGGATGGATTTTAGGGTATCCTTATGCTCTCTGGCATTGTACACACAATTTTGCACATGGAGAATATTTGAAAGAGTTCTTAATAGTAGTTGTCACACTTTAGTGTGCACAGAATACCCAGTAAGGCTACTGAACCGTTTTCACCAGCGTCTCCAAAAAAAAGGTTGAGAATCACTGCTTGAGTGGGTAACACCCAGAAATATCTTACGGATTGGTACCCAAGCAAACACAGCAGTAACATCCTCCTCTCAAAGACCCTGTTGATAAATGAAGAAGATTCATAATGAACGCCAGACTTGCTACTTTGAATGTACCGTACTGTTGCTGTTATAAAAGTATGATGAACAATGGATATTTGAAATATAATTTATATAGTAGTCCCTAGGGATGTATAAATGAAACTTACTGTCTGATGTAAACCAATCATACAGATTACTACAGGCTCACATTTCCTAGACCAGACTGATATTAAACAGGAGAAATAATCACCAGAGCAGAAGGACGATGTATTGAAAATGCCACCCTCCCCACATCTCTTCCTGTTTCTTCAGGCTCCCATGGTTCCAGGCCATCTGTGAGAAGTATGATGAGGCCTGAGGAAAATCCCCCTTGTTATTTCCAAGGCTGGAGAGAATTCCAGGGGAATTTGTAACAGAAACCCACCCATCCACAAAAGGAAGTTTCCACTTAGAGAGAACCTTTCAACAATGTTCACCAGTCTGTCTATTTGAAAATACCCATGGAAAGTGCATTTATACTTGAAATGAAACTCATGCTAGGTCACCTTAGAGCTTGCCATTGGCTGCTAAGGTTCTCTTGATGCATCATCAAATGTATGTTCCTCACGACTAAACATCATTTACAATGTTATTCATTAATTTTGCGTAACCAAGTGGAATGGGAAATGCCTAGAGGTTATACATCTGTGACCTGCATGGGAATCTTCACACGAAAAGGCAATCAAATTAACTTATTACTCCACTGTTGAAGGAAGTTAGAGGTGAGAATTTTTCTCTTTGGGGGTTTTTCCTCTAGTGATCAGGAAAGGGCTTTCCAGCAGCCCAAGCATACACAGAATGCAGGATATTGGTATCGCCTGTAGACGTTTGAAAAGTTTTCACATTACATTAGATTTAAATCCTTATACTAATCTTTTGGGCCATGTTTACAGTGGCCACTTAGAGCCATGCCCCGCAGGTGTAGCAACATCATGCTCAAAATGCAAAGCCCTTGTCCATGACTCGCCACGTGCTACCCAACTGAGCACCTTCCTGCTTTGAGAATGAAAGCATCCACTTGAGAAACTCCCACGTCACAGGGCTACATTCTGCGAGTTTGCCACTTGCAGGGGCATCAAGTCAGTTAACCTCTCTGAGCCTCAGTTTCCTCAGCTGTCAATGTAAACGTGTCAAACTTTTTAAATAAAACAGAGTGGTTGTGAGGATGAAATGAGACATAATGAATTTAAGAGCAACCTAGAAGATGACCTGCTCAGTAAAGATTTGGAGAATCTGAATAACAACTTCTTCATGTAAATGGTTAGCTACTCTAGGCCTCTGCGTCCTGAGGGGAGAGAGGAATGATAAGGCATGTTGAGAAATGCATATGTATTCAGCCCTTTAGGCCACAGTGAGGCCAATTCTAAGGTGAACAAAGGTCACAGAACTATCTTTGACATTTCCGACTCTGCACTGGCTCTCGCATCCAGCAACACAGCGTCCTGTCCATGTTGCTGCATCACCCTTGACCGCTGGGGAAAGAAAAGCCCCGTGGTCCTGCTCCCAACTGCCTTACCGTCATGATGAGCTTCTCCACGCAGTCGGGCGCCACGCTGTGGAGGTGGGTGAGGTGCAGCTGGAGGTGGATCTTGTTGTTGAGCATGTCCTGGCACAGGGGGCAGCGGAGCATGGGCTGCACCGAGTGCTGCGTCATGGCGTGCACCCGCAGCCGGTTGACATCGGCGTTGCTGTACTTGCAGTAGGGACACTGGTACATCTGTGGGGAACACACAGCCACCCCTCCGGCTGAATCTTCAGTTCCCACCGCAACTGTGTCCGCCCCAAGCCCGCCCACCCGAGACTCCACTCCCCCCCTTCCCCCCAGCTATGTGAAACACTCCCCCACCAGCACAGCCCCTTCTGGCCTCACCTGCTCCGGTTTGGTCTCCTCTGATGTTTTTGGTCGCTTTGAAGAGAGAGGAGACTCTGAGCTACCTGGGAAGGAGATGCGTTTGGAGGTTGCAGGAGAATCTGTCAGCTCCTTCTCTGCTTGGCTTGATGATGCTGGAAGAAAAAGCAGAAGATGTAATACAGCAGCCAGACCAGGCCAGCTCCCAGAGGGTTTGCGTTGGGTGAAAATCAACATTCATTTATAGCACAGGATTTTCTTGAAACACCAAAATTAAAGTAGGATGAGCATCCGGACTGATTTATCAGGCATGCTAGAAAAGAAGCAAGTGTTTCTTTTTGTCCCCCATGAATTTCTGTCACTACACAACTTTAACAACTGAACACTAAGAAAAAAAGGTACAGAAATGGACTAAAAGGCTCTGAGTTGGATTAAGCTACATTCAGTCTATTCTGACCTCCCCCAATCAAGACACAATCTGCTGGCTTATGAGGGTGCGTGGGAAAGTGTCACCAACTGCTTTGCCAACCACGAGTCAACCCAAGTACCAGACACACTCTGCTTTCATGGATGTAATAGATGATGTGCTTCCAACTTTATTGTCACAGCTCTTGAAATCACAGCACAGCACAGCACAGGAGACATGATAAATGGGACGGACCCGAGAAAGGTTTACACGGATATCTGCATACAAATGCGTGCAAAAAAGTCAAGTGTGGCTTCAGCAACTTGCTTCTGGGGAAGAAGTAACTGAAGAGTGGAACTAGATAGGGCGTGACTCCAACTTCTAATCGAGCCAGTGCTCCAGACACAAGAGTTTATTCAGAGTGGGTGGTTCAGAGGGAAAGTGTCCTCTCTGCTTGCCAGAAACATGCCCTCTGCACCCCACTCCACCAAAACAACAAAACACCAACGAGGAAGGAGAGTCACATAAGAGTGAAGCAGCAAGCAGTGAGCATGGAAGTGTTGGCGGAAGGAGTTCTCTGAAGCATGGAAAGGGATCTGGAAGATTGTGATGAGAAAACAGCTGGGCTGAAAGGGTTTTAACAAGGATAAATAAGCAGGGCTCCTCCAGTATAAACACAAATCTCCAAATGGTCAGATGTGGGCATTCCAAAACCTGGTCAGTATCTTAAGGCTGGCTCTCTCACTGTTTTGGACGGGAACTCCATTTTTCAGCATTTTGCTACAAGTGGTAAGAAGAAAAATCCTGAAAATGGTAGTGAGACAGTACATACCCACTGCCCTCCCTACCTCACTGAAAAATCATTTGACTCAGCACTGAGGTCACTGGTTTAGAAAGCCTCATGTTTACTCTTTGGTCAAACTGCTTTCTGTCTCATCCAGCCTAGTTCCCTAGCGTGTGTTTCCAGCCTTGAAATCTGTTCTGACGTGGATACCCAAGATGCTGTCATTACAGATGTGTGCTTTAATAAACAGTTGTAAAAAATCAATTTTATTCATTAAAATCGTAAGGCCACACAATAATTTTGGAAAATAAAAATGCAAAATGCAGGAAATATTCCAGGAAGTGGATGCTCTTCCCAGAATGCACATCTTCTGATCTTTAACCCCAGTATCTTGGTAACCTGGTCTACATAAGTTTGTAGAACATCTATTATTTAAAAAGTACAAGGACAAGCATATTACACACGGACCCCTCCTCCTCCCAGCACACATTCATAACAGTACTTTAATCTGTCTCGAATCGACTTCAAACCCATTTTCTTCTTAATGGGAGTTATTCATTTTCACTTGAAAGGTAATACATGACGGCTGGATATTTAATGTGATGGACTGGCTGCCGATTAACTAGGTGCTGTATGTGACATTCTAGTCTGGTTCCCACGGCCCACTTCCCATCTCCCAGCCCCCGGCAGACCTGATCCCGCGAAACCTTGCGTCGCAGGTTTTAGACCTCGGAGTGTGATGGGCCCCCTGCCTGAACACTCCCACAATAGGAGTCTTTTAATTAATGTTTTGGGGATGTAAGATCTTCCTGCCCCCAGAAGGTTTCTTATTCTCCATCGTTTTTCATTTTTGCTTACTGGTTGTCTTCTCTATGTTAGCTCTTCTATAGCTTTTCAAAGGCATTCTGAAGATGGGGTGGGTGGAGACGTTATGTGATACTTCAGACGCTTATGTGTTAGAACCATCCTCCACCTTCCCCATTTCCACCTCCAATCTGTAGGATTAGGTTAGGTTCAGGGCTTACAGTTAGGGAAGAGCTGCTCTCTGCTCCCCCTTCCCCTAGGGGCAAGCCAAGATGCAGATCCTATTCTAAACACCCATCCCCGTCTTTTTGTTAGTCTGCCTGACCTGAAACAACACCTGCTTTTACCGGACCGTGACACTGCCTTGTCAATGCCTTCAACCTGCCTGCTACCCCCCCTCTTCAGAATGATTTTCAACCGTGCAGTTGCTCAGCAGTGTGGATGAACGAGCACGGAGGCTGAGACCGCCCGACTCATCCACTCCCTGCAAAGCAAACCCGGTGTAACCCAGTGAAGCATTAGCGTCCTCACAGGACCGGAGTCCACCCTCGTCCTTCAAGGCTGAACGCATGATGAATGGTGACGAGGTTGCAGAGGTGAGAATTCTCGTTTCAGAAGCCACTATTCTTTCCCCCTGCATGGAGAGGGGGACTTCTATTACCTTTTTTTTATTTTTCATACTCTCAAATTGCTCTGTAATTCTAAAGCTTCCTTTGTGAGCTCAAGCTAAGGAGCTGTTCTAAAGTGTTTTAAAAAATAAAATCGGCACTTGCTCACTCATTCCTCTTTCTCTGGAGTAACACAACAGCTCTGCTATGATATGAAATACTGCATCCACTGGTGTGAAAACTTCCGGGGCTCATCTCCCTTCTACCTGGGGCAATCTGCATTTTTATTAGATCAGATCTGTCTAGAAGTGGACATTAGCCACCTGCAGCTCGCTAGGCTTCTTCTCTACAGATAAGGCCGTGCCTTTCCTATATCGGAGTCTGTTAACACCCAGTTACAATCCCATTGTGCTTCCCGCTCCAAAGAGTTAGGTTAACGAGGCTGACAGGCCCCTCCTAGCTTGACCCCAGACATTAAAACGTCAATCCCTATGAAAACATGGTACCAGAGATTTTATAAAATTTCTGTAGATGGGTAAACAGTTGCGCAAGTTCTCCATCAGCAGGCTGGAAGAGGGTTCACTACTGACAATGACAGTCTAAGGTTTTCTCAAGCTTCTTCTCTCTGAACAACTTCAAAAGGGCCAGAGTCCCAAAATCAGTTCCTACTTTAGTTCTGTCACTAGCATACATTGTAGGCGTAAGTAAATGAGGTTGTACGAATACCAAGAGGGAAAGTACTGTGGTTTTCTTTTTTGAAGACTTTTCGAAACTCTGACTTAAATTCCAAGAGCGATGTCACAGTCTAGAAAACATTATTACTTTTTTAAATTAATTACTGATCAGTTTAAGGCCATTATGACGTCACAGTAGTGAAACACAAATAGATGCGCTCCAGAGACAAGCCATAGTTTAAACAGTGCCTGGAACCACTGGATTACACTGGTAACAACTTCAAGGGTAACTACCTGTAGTGGCTTTTACAATAATGACAAAATGAACTGGAAACAATCTAGATATTTTACAACAGGGCACGGTTAAGTAAACAATGGTACAGCCACTCTATTGAGTATTAGATGACATTACCTATGATAGCTATGAAGCAATATGGAAAAATCCTTGAGAAGGTTAATCAGAAAAAAATAAGATAACATATGCATTATAACATGATACAGCTTTGTAAAAAATAGGTATTAGAAAAAAAGACTGGAAGAAAATGACTGCTGTATTTAGGTGATTGGCATCACGGACCATCTCCCCATTTTCTACGTTTGTCATGTAGTTATATTATTTTTAATACTATAATTAAAGAGTTTAGCGTTTAAATTCAACTGTCCATGAAAAGGTTGATATTTGGATCCATACTGTGCAAAACATCAGGTGGTATTTTTACTTTGCTGGTTAAAGCAATTTTTCCTCATTTTGGCAGCTATGCCATATGAAAATATGTGTTAAATCTCAATGAATCTTCCACAGGCAACATGCTGGGCTCCTGGCACTTCAAAGGGTTTAAAAACGTGGCAAGGAATCGTGCGAGTGCCATCGATTACATACTCTGTAAAGCAAGGCAAGAGGGATACTGGGGCAATATCGGGGAAATGCAGGGTCAAACCCCAAGCGCAGCCCGACAGGATGTTAGCTGCGGACTCCTCGCCACGCAAACTTTCTAAGGAGTGGACAAACACTTGCTCGACTTGTTAGAAGTTAAGGTTGCCCCACTGAACTCGCTGGTGAGGCAGGAAAAGGACCGGCATGGCCTGGCTATGGAGTACAGAAAATTCGAAGTCAACTTTCTGGGCCAAAAGCCACCATTCCACCTTAAACTGTGATGGGTTGGTCACTATATCCGACGAAGGCAAGTACTGAGAGGCAGACCTGATTCATGACTCTCCATTTCATTGTTCCTGTACATTCCAAGCAAAAGAAATTTCATTTCAAAGGGAAAGACACAGTAGTCAGTGCATGGCTTCCTCAGGAAAAACAAAAATCATTTCTGTGACGTCAACTTCCAGATATCCTTTGTTTTTAACATATTTGCTTGGGGGTATTTAACCTCTAAAAATAATTACTTAAAAATTTACCCCTCTTGTCATATTAATTAGAGGGAGTAGGGAAGAGAAGAGAGCCAATATGAATTCATGCAAGTTTTGTTTACAATTTTCAAGAAGAGGTTTTATTATGTTCTAAGCATATAGAATAATTAAAACAAGCCTAGTAAGGTTTCAGGTAAGAGGTGACTAACTGTAAAGAACAGGTTAAGGGGACTTCCCTGGTGGCGCAGTGGTTAAGAATCCGCCTGCCAGTGCAGGGGACACAGGTTCAATCCCTGGTCCAGGAAGATCCCACATGCCACAGAGCAGCTAAGCCCGTGTGCCACAACTACTGAGCCTGCACTCTACAGCCTGCGAGCCACAACTACTGAGCCCACGTGCCACAACTACTGAAGCCCGTGCGCCTACAGTCCGTGCTCTGCAACAAGAGAAGCCACTGCCATGAGAAGCCCACGCGCCACAACAAAAAGTAGCCCCCACTCGCCGCAATTAGAGAAAGCCCACGTGCTGCAACAAAGACCCAACGCAGCCAAAAATAAATAAATAAAAAGTAAATTAAAAAAAAAGAAGAATAGGTAAGAACAGTATAATTTAGGGGGCTTATCAAGTGGTCAAGTATGGTAGAAACACAGTCTCTTTAACTTCACCTGATAAAACCACTTTTCCTAGAACAAATTCTCACCCAATCCCAATCCTCACTAATAAACTAAAATCTGACTCACTGAAATTTTGGTGACAGAAAACTTGAGAGCTGTACTTGCAATACCATGTACTGCCAGCAGACTTAATGCCAACACGTGCCTCATTTCTCACCTAGTGATGTGGTCATACAACTCTGAAGCAAGGGAAGGCAGGGAGTTGCTGCCTCCTGAAAAAGAAACCTGAAGAAAAATTGGAAGTGAAGTAGAAATGGAACCTTAAGGTACACAGTTTTTGGCTTTCCCTAATCATTTGCCAAGACATCAACTTGCCCTCCATGACAATCAAAAGTACTGGAAGTTTCAGTTCCATGAGCAAAACTGACTTTGTCATCACTCAACACACCATTGGTGCTGTTGGCATGGTGGACATTCTCTGCCACAGGCCCGCCTTTGGCCAGAGTCCTCCCTTGGGGAGATCCTGGGCATGCGCTGAGCTGTCCACGTTACTGGGAAGTTTCTTCTGCGTTTCTTCTCTTCATGGCGTAGTGGCACTCGGAAGTGGTGTTCACCAAGATGCTGACCCCCCTTCCTTCTGGGGACCCCAAGGTGAGCCCACTGAAGGCCTGGGATGCTGCCTGACATGTCATCCTTCTGGAGCGGCCAAAGGCAGCCTCCAGCCCCACTTCTCAACCATCAGACTCTGAGCTAAAGTACCACTGACAGCCCCTCCATCTAAACTTCCATCTCCCAAACCAGCAACATAATGGAGGAGCCAATTAAATGATTATTAATTCATGCTACTTTCCGTAAGCCAGAGGTTCTCATCGCCTTGTGTTCCGTAAACCAGCTTGCCACCTGCCCCAGAAATTTACAGCAATCTTTTATCTCCATTGACTAAGGAGAAAAAAAAAAAACGTTCACACAGCTCTATACTCAGTGCTTGAGTTGGGATAATGACCCCAGCACGATAGCCACAGAAGCTTCACCATATTGGAAAGTGGTCATTCAGCTCATAATGAAAATGAGATGAAAGGGGCAGTGAGCCCTCTCCATCGCCCCCTTCCCCTCAGCTTCTCAGAGGCCCGACACTCCCCTCTAGAAAGCAGAAATGCACAGTTTCCAGAGGGTCAATCTGTGCTCTGGACTTGTGATCCTCTGTGATACTGTCACTGAATGTGGAGCTGCTCTTGGCATCTGCTTGCAATTCCCTCCCCAGAGGAGAGGCTAAGATTTCGAACTTGCATCTCCTGCAGAGCTACTGCACTTCAGAAGTGGCCAGAGAGCTGGCTAAATTCTCTCCCTCCCTACGGAGAGAAACAGTTCCTTTAAAGGGTCTGCTCGGCTGCCAACTTGGTCGCTAAACATGCACGGCTCTGCCTCTCACCAAGCACTTAAAGATGATTCAAAGGGGAATCGGGGAGTCTGTGCACGGCGAAGGCACACCCAACGGGGTCTCTACACCCTTACACACCCAGAGTCCAGCCCCATGAGGGTAAGAACCTTCTATTCAAAACACAGTCCTGGTTTCAGTTAAGTGCAGGCTACACTGCTCCTGCATGTCTCTTGAAAGCATTTTAGAGAAGTACTCAAAAAGGAGAAGAACATGCCTAAGTAGGTAGAGCGAGACACACAGGCCTCATCCACTTACCAGACATGTCTTCCTGTTTCCATGAAGGATTTCAAAGAAAACTTGAGTTATACTACAGATGGGTATTACTGATGCTCGGGGAATGGCTCATTATTTTTCTCCTCCAACTCAAAGATGAACCAGATAGGTCAGCACTCTGAAAATCCAGAAGCTCTTCAGTGTTGTTTCTGTTGTTGTTATTAGTTTGCTTTTTATTTGGAAATATAGATTCACAGGAAGTTGCAAGATTAGTACAGGGAGGTCCATTTCCCCTTCACCTAGGTGTTTCTTTTTAACCAGGGTTTAGATAAAGATTGCTGGGTTTCTCAGATGGAGAGATATACCATGTTCTTGGAGTGGAAGGATCAACACTGTGAAAATGACTATAATACCCAAAGCAATCTACAGATTCAATGCGATCCCTATCAAACTACCAATGGCATTTTTCACAGAACTAGAACAAAAGAATTTCACAATTTGTATGGAAACACAAAAGACCCCGAATAGCCAAAGCAATCTTGAGAAAGAAAAACGGAGCTGGAGGAATCAGGTTCCTGGACTTCAGACTATACTACAAAGCTACAGTCATCAAGACAGTATGGCACTGGCACAAAAACAGAAATACAGATCAATGGAACAGGATAGAAAGCCCAGAGATAAACCCACATACATATGGTCACCTCATTTTTGATAAATGAGGCAAGAATGTACAATGGAGAAAAGACAGCCTCTTCAATAAGTGATGCTGGGAAAACTGGACAGCTACAGGTAAAAGAATGAAATCAGAGCACTCCCTAACACCATACACATAAAAAAACTCAAAATGGATTAAAGACCTAAATGTAAGGCCAAGACACTACAAAACTCTTAGAGGAAAATACAGGCAGAACACTCTATGACATAAATCACAGCAAG